GCCACTGCACTCCAGTCTGGGCGACAGAGTGAGACTCCAACTCAAAAAAAAAAAAAATGTGGCATGATACACAAGGGAATACTATTCAGCCATTCAGAAGAATTAATGAAATCATGTCTTTTGCAGCAACATGGATGGAATTGGAGCCCACTCTCTTAAGTGAAACGACTCAGACGCAGAAAGACAAAAACTTCATGTTCTCACTTATAAGTAGGAACCACATAATGTGTACACACTTGTGGAATGATGGACAATGGGCACTTGGGAGCCGTGAGGGGTTGGGGACGTGGATAATGGGAGATTGCTTGGTGGGTACAGTATGTGCTGTTCCAGTGATGGACACACTGAAGACCCTGACTTTACCATAGTGCAATAGAGCCGTGTAGCAAAATGTACTTGTACCCCATGAAAATACATAAATAAATCATAATACACACAGATGTTGATTTGCAGGTTAAAATAACATGTGCATATCTTGTGCTATATAAAATATATTACTAAAGTTCATTTCCTCTGCTTCTTTTCCCCTTTTCTGACGTGGCTGCTAGGAAATTTAAAATGAGGGCTGTGGCCCGTGCCAGGCTCATATGGGAACACCCCCAGTAGGAAACTTGTGACTGAAAGGTCCTCTCACTCCCATGCTGGAACCTCCCATGACTGCCCCATGGTTGGAGATAAAGACCCAGGTCCTGAGTGGAGAAGGCTGGGTACACCAACCCTGGTTCCTCTCTCTGTTCCCGGGGTCTTCATGCTCGGCTCCAGTCCTGCACTTCACCTCCAAGAGGGCTCTGGTGGCCTCCAAACTCTGGTCCTGGACACAGTCATCTTCTTAGGACTCTGCCCTTCTCAAGAAGTCTCTGCACTTCCTGACATCTCTGCTTTTCTTGACTGGGACATCAGACCCCAGGCAATGTCTCCCGCAAGGGGCGCCCCTGGCCCCATAAAATGCCTCAGGACCTGTTCCTTCTTGTTACCATGCTGTCCCATTCAACTGTACATTGACTGCTGTGACTTCTGGATCAATGGTCCTCTCTCCCATTTCTAGAAGCTTCCTGAGGGGCGTACTCCTGTGCGGTCCCTCTGGACTTCGGTGCTCTGCTGGGCTTGGTGTGTGTGGAATGAATATAAATGAGAGACTGAATGAGCATGGCTGAGTGGCTGCTCCTGACACCTGTGACAGGGACGACAGAGAGAGGATACTTCTCCAGCAGGCAAGAAGTGGGGAGAACAAGGAGGGATGCCTGGCACAGTCAAGAAACAAGGTCACAGCTGTCCTGGGTATGGGTGGAGGTGACTGCAGCTCACAGAATGACCCTGCGAAGGTGATGACACATTTGAGTGGTCCACACTGCTGGAATTGGCAGAGGTCAGTCACTGGCATCTTCAAAGACTTGCTCCCTAGTTTTTTAGGAGGTGACATATGGGTCAAAAAATATTTTTCCCTCTTAAAAATGCATATAAGTGCTCTGTGAGGGAGTAACTGGACCCTGTGCCCAGACATGGCTGGACAACGTCTGACAATGGCACACAGGGCCGAGCGGGTCATGCAGGGCGGGGCCTTCTGTGTGGTGTGTGTGTGGGTTTGTGGTGGGTGACAAGGTGCCCTAAGAAGGGGACCCACCCCATTCAGAGTACTGGTGAGAACCGGGCCTGCAGAGAAAGCAGGGTGCCGGGCCCAACACTCCACAGAGCAGACCTATGACTTCTGGGAAGGGAATGACCTTGGCACACTAGGAGAGCAGTCAGGGAGGCGATATCCCAGTCCAGACGTCAGCAGACACTTCAATCAAGGGCCAGGGACTGGATGTTTCGGACTCTGTGGGCCACGTGGTCTCTATTGAAGCTGGCACTCTGACACTGTGATGTGGAAGCAGCCAGAGACAACACAAATGCACCAACATGGCTGTGTCCTGATAAAACTTTATGTACAAAACCGGCAGTGGGTAGGATTTGGCCCGTGGCCACAGTTTGCTAACCCCTGGATGATCTCCAATAGATGGCTCTACTGGCCACCACCACGAAACACTGCTCGATCTCAGAGGATCATCCATGTCAGCAAAGCTCTCATCTGAGTTTCAAGACCTCCTCAAAAGGACGATTGGATGACTGGCCCCCTGTTGGACCAAGAGCAACTCGAATGGTAATATTTCACTGCAGCAATAATACTGCGGCCTTATTAGTGGATATACTTTCCCTCCTGTGCATTTCATGAAATGTGAATCAAAGGATTTCTCCTGCTGGGAGGTCCTAGGTCTGGAATGGGGAGTGGGGAATGAGGGGACATGAAGAAATCTCACTTAAAAATATTCTGCAGGCCCCCCAGAAAGCCAGACTCCCTGACAACAGAGAACGGTTCCCTGTGCCGACGGCACCCGGCAGCCTGGCCTCATGGGACAAGCACGGAGACTGCGCCCTACACCAAAGTCTCTCCCTCCTCCGTGTTCGCCTTAAAGGACACGGGGGTCCAGTGCCCTGGGCCATGATGGAGCATTTAGGAAAGGGAAACACACACACACATCTCACAGCAGCAGAGGCCCTGTTGTGTAACACAGAGAACAAAAAGGCCAGCGGGAACCAGCAGGCATCGCTGGCAGAGCGGGGCCTGGATAAATGAGACAGGGATAAACATTAACTAGATATTAAACTGGATTTGTGTGGGCGGATGTTTATGTCACTGTGGTGGAGGAGTTCAGGCAGAACACAGTTGCCAAGCAAGCCCTGGCCCCTCCTGTCCTGGAGGCGCGAGACGCACCCACCTGCTCTGTCCTGCCCAAAGCCCTGTGGGCACTCACCCCGGTCAGCGCCTCCACGCTGGCACCCATCAGACAGAGGTACCGGACCACGTCCAGGATCCCGTTGTTGGCCGCAAGGTGCAGAGGCGTGCGTCCATACTGGGAAGACAGAAAAAAGCCAACGAGTTTTTCTCACGTTGCTCCTGAGGATGACATTCAGGGACTACATCTCGGGACACAGCATTAAGGAAGGGATCCAGGGTCCACCAGAAAGACAGAGGAGGTGTCTCCTCCCAGAAACTTGCCACCCATTGTGGCCGGCCAGCCAGGCACAACGCTTTCAAGTACTTTGCAGTTATTCATAAATGAGTAACCAAAACACAACTAAGAAGGGTGAAAGAGGAGGAGTTTTATCCTCCCAGGATAACTGAGTTAAATTTCCTGCTGTGCTGTTGAGAAGGAAGCAGGAGCCCAGGGCTTGAAGGCCACAAAGTTCCAGCAAGATCTGCACCTCTGTTTAAATTTAGACACAACCAGGGAAGAAGACAAGGAGGATAGCTATTGAAGACACGCTAATGAGTAAAATGTCAAGGACAGGCCCACCCAGTCCTTCTCATGCTGGTGGTTCCCAAACTGTGTGCCAAGGCCCCGCCGTGAGTTCATCGGGGTGTCTGGGAATATTTGAAGTTTTTGATGGAACCGTCTGGTTCGGGTACTAAATGAACTAAGAGGTCGAGGTGGTTCAGTGTCTCATCATGACACGGCGCCATCTTCCCTTCAATGACACCACATCTTTCACAGCAGGTAGCTGGCTGCTGCTATGATAAGAAGCCAGTATCTTGAGGAAATCAATGCGGAACGGGAAATGAGGGTGGTGTGTCCAATCTGAGTCCAAGATCTGAGAAACTGTGAGGTGCCCTACAGGCACACATATCCGAGAGTAAGTATTATGTGGTTCTACAGAAATAAAATGAAAATCATAGTTTTTTTTTTTTTTACTATTTATTGTTTTTTGCAACGACTACTAAATTATTAAGACATAAGTATGTACTAAGTTGTTTGGATTAAACCACTCAATAAACAAAGCCGTTAGGTATATCTTTTCCCCCATGGAACCATGAACAAAATATTATTGAGATTCTAAGGATATTATGATCTGAGAAAGTATGGGAATCTCTGTTTTATGCTGTTTATTTTTATTTTTTTTTTTAGTTGGAGTCTCACTCTATTGCCCAGGCTGGAGTGCAGTGGCAGGCTCACAATCACCCCAGCGTCGACCTACCAGGTTCAGGTGATCCTTCTACCTCAGCCGTCCAAGTAGCTGGAACTAGAGGCCTGCATCACCATGCCTGGCCAATTTTTTGATTTATTGTAGGTCTCACCATGTTGCTCGGTCTGGTCTCAAACCCGTGGGCTCAGGCAATCCTCTCACCTTGGCCTCCCAAAGTGCTGGGATTATAGGCATGACCCACCGCACCCGGCCTGTTCATTTTTAAATATCAGTTGTTGTTATAAAATTAACACATGCTCATTTAAAATATTTACACAATACGGAAGGACATATAGTAAAAAATAAAAGTCCTCCTCCCCTAACTCTCACCCTTTTCCCGGGTTTTCCTGGTCAGAGCCATCCCTATTTGACCTGTTGATGCATTTCCTTCCAAGCTCTTATCCATAAATCCTTAAAGGGAGAGACTTTATATATTTATTTATTTATTTATGTGTTTATTAATTATGAGTTGGAGTCTCACTCTGTTGCCCAGGCTGGAGTGCAGTGACACCCTCATGGCCACCGCAGCCTCGACCTACTGGACTCAGGCAATCCTTCTGCCTCAGTCTTCCAAGTAGCTGGAACTACAGGCATGCACCGCCATGCCCGGCTGATTTTTTGACTTATCGTAGAGATGAGGTCTCCCCAAGTTGCTCAGGCTGGTCTCAAATCCGTGGGCTCAGGCAATCCTCTCACTTCGGCCTCCCAAATTGCTGGGATTATAGGCGTAAGCCACCGTGCCCAGTCAGGAGAGACATAATTTAAACAGCTAAGAGCCAAGATGTGATCATAGCCCGCCTTCTACTCTGTCTCTTGCTTTGCCTATCCAACAGCAAACCGTAAACACTTTTCCATATCTTTAACTGAATCGATTACATCCTGTGAATGCCTGAACCATATTCACCATGTGGCTGGTGTGATTCATTCGGCTGGCCCAATGAAGGGGACACTGAGGCTACTTAGGTCTACTTCCCGGCTGCTGTCAACACTGCTGCATGTGTGCACACGCTCGTGTTTCTCTACTACTGTCTTCTGCAGTGATGTAAAAAGCAGACAGTAAGCTTTCATCCATCCTAGAGTCAACGTGAGAAGGTCTGGAAGATCTGGATGAGATATTTGGAAGATGCCGTGCAAGGGAGATGTAATTCTGGTTACAGATTGTACACAGTGTTCCAGAATGAAGAGAGCCAGTGAAGAGAGTGTGGTGAAGAAAAGGGTGGGGGAAGTGACCTCTCTTGAAAGCCCTGGTTTGGACAGAGCAAAACCCAGACTCCTTAGCATTATGCTCCAGGTCTGTCACCAGCTGGGCCCAATGTCTCTTTCCAGCTTCATTTTCTCTCCTCCCCAACCCTCTCTCCCTAAATACCTACTCCTGCCCCCTGCATGCCAGCAACAGCTCCTAGCAGGCACACCTGCTTTCTTTGGTGTGAGACAGGCTTCCCTGATCCTTCACCTGTCAGAGCCCTGCGTGATCATCTCTGCAAAGCCTTTTCTGATTTCTTTGGTGTCTTAATTATTGCTTCTGTGTTTCTGGAGCACCTTGGGCTCCTGTCACAGCAGTGATAAAACAAGAGAAGCTGCTGCATCTGAATGTGTGTCAGTCTAAAAGCAGCCTGAGGGCAGAGCCATCTACCTGGGCCTCTATCCTCCCTTCCTGCTGGACACAGTGTCATCCTAGAAGGGCCTCAATCAAATCTTGAAGGGCATGGAGTTCTCTCTCACATGCCCATGTGTGTGCACATGCAGGCGTGTGCATGCTCACAAAAATGTGTGTGCATAACATGCATTCTCTGTCTTTGCATATGAGAAACACCAACCTAGAAAGGAAAGAATGGATAAGGGAACACACACTCTATTTCCTCGCCTCTCTGTGTTCTCGAACATGGCGGGTTAAACAGTCACTCTCCTGATTTTTCATGAGAAGAATTAAGAATGCAGAAGTGTCTAATTCACGGCATGAACATCAAAGATAGCCACGCGGTCCTGTCACATAATGGTGACAGGGTAGGATTTGAATGCCTACTTTTATTTCTGGGGGAATTTAATCCAGATAAGGAAAAGGCAAGCCCTCACCCCAAGGAAAGAGCACCAGTCCTCCAGTAGAACGGGGATGCCACTGTGCAATGCCCACACTGACCATCGGTTACTTGAGTGAGTCCGTGCAAAGCCCGGTGTGTTTTGGCGGGCAATGATACCTTCCCTTACCACTCTGCACGTCTGGAAAGCCCTGCTAGTGACCTATCACTGCTTTGTTTTTTGGTTTTTTTTTAAAGAAATGAAAAACAAGCATGGTATCAACCCTTCTGAAGAAGCGTGGGGCCCCAAAGTCAGGCCAGGATAATTCTGGGGGCTCTGAAGGCATCCTAGAGCCCATCTGAGGCCCACTGGTACAGACCCTTGCACAGTCAGCGGCCAGCTCCTGGCGCGCTTGGAATCATGGTCTCCACTAAGGCGTTGGAACTGTAGCATGGACGGTTTTTGCTCTACCTGAGCTCCATGCATGGACAGAATCATCTATTGAAGGACTTCTATGAACTGCTGCTGTCATATATGGTAATAACGCAAGTTTAGGTCAGCACTCATGAACTTCATTTGTGCACGTCTGCGACAGCAAACGTCAAACTTTCACATTAAATAAGCCAGCTCTTTTCGTTTTTTTGTTTTGTTTTGTTTTTGCTTTTGTTGTTGTTTTATTTTGTTTTGTTTGAGTTGGAGTCTCACTCTGTCGCCCAGACTGGAGTGCGGTGGCCGCTCCCAGTCACTGCAGCCTCGACCTGCTGGGCTCCGGCGATCCTTCCGCCTCAGCCTTCCGAGTAGCTGGAACTACAGGCGCGCGCTACCACGCCCGGCTAATTTTTTATTTATTGTAGAGATGAGGTCTCGCCAAGTGGCCCAGGCGGGTCTCGAACCCACGGGCTCAGGCAATCCACTCACCTCAGCCTCCCAAGGCGCGGGATTACAGGCTGAGCCACCGAGCCCGGCTGCCAGCTCTTTTCAAACAGGAAAGTCTGGGATTGTCTTGCTGGGTTTCTTTTTTTTTTTGAGAAAGCAGGATTTATTGAGAGGACAGAAAGGCTCCCACAGTGGGAGGGGACCCAAAGGGGTTACCCGTCTTACTGGGTTTCTTTTTTTTTTTTTTTTTGAGTTGGAGTCTCACTCTGTCGTCCAGACTGGAGTGCAGTGGCCGCTCCCGGTCACCGCAGCCTCGACCTGCTGGGCTCCGGCGATCCTTCCGCCTCAGCCTTCCAAGTAACTGGAATTACAGGCATACGCGACCATGCCCAGCTGATTTTTTGATTTATTGTAGAGATGAGGTCTCGCCGCCCAGGCGGGTCTCGAATCCGCGGGTTCAGTTTCTTAAAGAGTATATTGAACAAGTGCACTTCCTGATGTGAAGCTGGGAAGAATACCATTCTTTTTTTTTTTTTTTTAGGTTAGGGCAAAGCACCACGAGACTGTAAGTTCTTCTTCTCCCCCTTCACAAGAAGAGAGCTCATCCCAGATGGTGTGCATACAGGAGGCCCGTGTGCATACAGTGGCCAAGTCTAAAGGTAGTCACATGAATGCACAGATCTCCCTTGAAGCCAGTTTTGATTCATGGAAAGAATCCTGGAAAGAAAGCTGAGGGCTTGATGCTACTTCTTTTTTTATTTTCTTTATTTTTTTTTGAGTTGGAGTCTCACTCTGTCGCCCAGGCTGGAGTGCAGTGGCACGCTCCCTCCTGGCCACTGCAACCTCGACCTGCTGGGCTCCGGTGAGCCTTCTGCCTCAGTCTTCCAAGTAGCTGGAACTACAGACGGACACCACCATGCCCAGCTATTTTGTGTGTGTGTGTGTGATTTATTGTAGAGATGAGGTCTCACCATGTTGCCCAGGCTGGTCTCGAACCCACGGACTCAGGCAATCCTCTCGCCTCAGCTTCCCAAAGTGCTGGGATTATAGGCTTGAGCCACCATGCTCGGCCAATGCTACTCCATATTCTATTTGGTTTTCCCCTTCAGCCACTGACGTAACTGACCAGGCAAGGTTAGAATGGGCTAAACCCAGAAAGCAACTAGCAGCTAATCGCTAAGACCTAGGATACTGTCTTTTTAAATTCCCAGGATGTGAACATTACCAATTTTAATTTCCATTAGAATTAATCACATACTATACAAGAAGAATAATTTTATATGAGAAGTATACTTTTCCAGCTGTTTCAGATAGTAATTCTTTTACCTTAAAAAATCACACTAAAATCCTGCTGACATTGTACATGCCATTGACACACAAACATTTCCTGCAATTAAAAAATTAATTCTGCTTGGATTTTGTTTTTAACACAATTATAATGGCCTAGTGCTTGCCTTTTCTACAGTTACAGGACTAAAGCCACATGAGTATGCAACTGCTTTATCTCATTTGGTAACGGAAATCTAGATAAGATTCAGGAGAAAGGGAAGGTGGTGGCTTCTAAAAGTAAACATACGGGATCTTCTTATGAACCTAAAAGCACATAATTAATTAATTTCACTTCTTTATTATCCACTAAATAATAGTATCCCCTTGGTTTTATCAAATTTATTTAGTACAAAAAATGTGTAAGGAACTTTTGACCATAAGTTGGGAAAACTAAAAAGAGAAATACGGTCCTAGGAACCACACCAAATCTTAATATCATTGGCTGTTTCCCTAAGGACTTAGTGCACCAGAAGGATGCTCTAATTTGTCCCGTGTTCTCTGATTCTTCTACATTATGTGCACATACATACAAATGCATGCATGTGTATGTACATACACACACACACACACACACACACACACACACACACACTCTAAATGCCCATCAGCAGTAAGCCAGACAAGGCAGGAAGTATCATGAATGCAATAATTTTGCTCTAGGAAATTATTCAGAAATCACATGTAAAAATACAAATTAAAAGGGCAGAGCCCCATAAAAAAGAACACATCCATATGAGTCACATTCACTTTCAACAACGAAGAGATACAACGAGAAACTTGGCTGAAACCCAAAAGCAGATATGGCTGGAATCTGCAGGGATCTCGTCCTCCGTGCCTACCTTGTTGGAGATGTCCAGATTGCAGTTTGCTTCACAGAGGGCCACCACGATAGGCACGTTGCCATCTTTGCAGGCTACATGGAGGGGTGTATTGCCATGCCGGTCTTGGAAATCGATGAAACACCCTTGGCTGAGGAGAGTCTTGATAACCTCCATCTGACACCGTCTTACAGCCAAATGAAGGGCGATGTGTCCATCCTGGAAACACACCCCAGGGACCATGAGAACTTTGCACTTAGGCACGTGGCCCTGGTCTCACCACCTTTCTTGCTGCCACCGAGTGAGGTTTAATTGGCAGCAGAATTACTACTGCTGGAGTTGAAAAGGAGGATTTGAAAAATCAAAAACTTTACTCTGATGGCAGGGGGAGCAGCCAGGAGGGCAAGGAGGCTTATCCGTTCCTCTCCGGGTAATCCTAGCTTAAGCTGACCATCAGTTTGGTTAATGTAGGCTTGGACTGTGCAGTCAGATGGGAAGAAGTACACTGCTTTCTGTCCCTTAGACTATGGAACATAAGTAGCTGTTGTACTCCCGTGGCTTTTTAATCAAAGTATTTGAAGAAATGCTCTTAAGAACATTGCCCAGAAATCTTGACCCACCTTCTAAGTAAGGAGCCCCTTATTTTATTTTGCACCAAGAGAAACTGAGAGAGTGATGTGAAATAATTTGCTCAACAGCTGCCATATAAATGAAAAGCAGATATAACATGCTTAACCTCTGCATCAGAACAGATCAGCCTGGGAATGCATTCTACCTATGATAAGCTCCCTGGTGAATAGACGTGCTGGGTTTTACCTGGGTAGAGAGCTCTGGGACATTTCTGTAACTTATCTGTATTAGGGTTTCTCAGCCTCAGCACTGTGGGCACTGGCAGGAGAGTTCTCTGTGGTGGGGCTATCTTGTGAGCTGCGGGATGTCTGGCAGCACCATGGACCTGGCTCTCCTAGATGCCTGTGGTGACTCCATATCTAGCTGTGACAAACCACATGTCTCCAGACATTATCCAAAGTCCCCTGTGGGCAAAGGTGCCCCTGGTAAGAACCACTGCTCTGTACCAAGAAAATACTTCAGTAATGGAAGATATTAAATGAACTCCAATATCCCAAATCTAACTACACAGAGCAACATCATGGCCTAATTTTAACTACAAGTTCACAATAAAAACAGATGAGGAATCTGTTTATATTTTTAAAAATGGAACACCTAGTCTAGAATTGAGATTGTCAAATAAGGGTGGTTTCTTGTATTTTTCTAAATTTGCAGATCACGGAAGTAAATAAATGACCTATTTCTTTGTTCAACACAAAATTAATACTGTTGCTAATTTTAGTCCTCGATGAGGATTGTCTTGGATTCAGTGAGTATCACTGTACCTGCTCCAAAGCTGAAAAAAAACTAAAAATAAAACACAGACCAAAGTCACCTAATCAATCAGTGAATTTTGTGATATGTCATAAATAAACATTAGTTATTAAATAGACTCTAGAAAAGCTCACAGAATCTATGGTACAAAGAAGAGAAAGACAATTACAATTTGCCGCTATCAAGTCTGATATCTTAGGGAAACAGACTGAGGAGTCTTGTGGTCCCTCTAGCGCCCCCCGATCGCTTTTCAGTGAGTGTGACACACCTTCCCCCATAAAGCACCTTGTCTGAGGCATTAAGGTCAGCTCCGTGCTCAGCCAGACACTCCACAATGTCGTGGTAGCCCCTGGCAGAGGCTGTCAGGAGGGGCGTCTCTCCTTCTCGGTTCTTCATGTTAACACTGCAGCCGGCTTCACAGAGGGTTTTGGCCACAGAGAAGTAGCCATGCCAGGCAGCACAGTGTAGGGGAGTTTCTTCTTCCTGCCCAAGGAGATGAACGCATGGATGAGGAGAACATAATAAAGCAAAAGAAAGAACAAGGCATAGTGACAGTCCTGGTCAAATTTGGCAGCAAAGCAAAGAAAGTTAAGGCAGAAGAGAGAAAGAGCTTGTAGTGATTGTAGTGAAATATTAATATAAAATAACGACACGGTGTGAGCCAACCACTCTGAAGAGGCAGATCTGATGTCTCTTCTCCATTTGTCTCTTTCCGTAACACTCACAAGTGGGCAATTTGGCTTTCTCAGCATAGGACTGATGACTGGCTTTTGGGGCCTCCCTGGAATCAGGGGTCCTGTTTTTCTGAACAGTAGATCCCTAGTGTGGACGGGTTCGTAGCATCTTTCTTGTAGCTGTGTCTTTGTTGACTTTATCTGAAACTATTTTTTATTTTAAAGATGTGGGGTATAATTCATATGTGAAACTATTAATAGGAGGAGAGCACTTCCCTGAGCAAGAATTCTTCCAACCATCGTGATGCCTCTACCCTTCTCTCATGTTTCTAACACAAAGATGAGTCCTAAGAGGATTACTGCCTTGGCAAGGAAGTAGTTAGGATAGCCGTGCCCTAACAGGGTGAGGGAATGGTAGCCTTGAGGTCTACAGCGCTATGAGACCTGTATCTTCATGCACAACATAATTAGCCACAGTTATGTGTCTATGAGAGTCTGCTATAGTGCAGTGGTTACAAATACAGACTCTGAAACCAGACTGTGTAGGTTCAAGTCCTGGTTCTACTACTCAGGAGCTGTGTGAGCTTGGGAAAGTCACGAAACCTTTCTCTGTCTCGGTTTCCTCGTCTGTAAAGCAACAGCGATAACAATATTAATCCACCTCACAAGGTTGTCCGTAAGTGAATGAAGTGTGTAAAACCACGCCTGGCATAAGTACCTTCTGTGTGTTAACTTCTGTTTGAGCTCCTGCCCCCAACAATGAAAGACAGGAAGCCTAACTTGGTCAAACCCCAAAGGACCCAGTGGTCCCAGCTGGCTGTCTGTACATCCACGCAGACAGCAGGAGGTGAGGACGTCAGGGACCACGACCCACCTTGTCCTGGAAGTTGGGATTAGACCCGAAGCTGCACAGCAACTGAGCCACGTCAGCATGGCCGTAGCGAGCTGCCACGTGAAGGGCTGTCTCTCCAGACTGCAAGAAAAAAAGAGGCCGACGGTTCAGCGCCCCCTCTGAGGAGACCAGAAGGCAAGGCCCCACCCATGCAGCCTGGCTCCTCCCCCTCCCCTTTGGGGTCACATCTGCCCCCTCTTGAGCCGGATGCCCCTTGGGTGACTGGGTTGGCGACCTGGGGTTAGAGTGTCCACCACGCAGCGGTTATTAAACCCACACACTTGGCTTATCCTATAAAGTGCAAATAACCCAGTAAATAGCTCTCCTTGTTCTATGATGGCTGTTCTTAATCTTCTTTATAGACTGGTGCTTCCGGCTGTGTGATTTTTTTTTTAAAAACATGACATTCCTTTTTAATATGAGGCTCATCTTTCAGTAGTTATTCAAATGCACAGTTTTGCTTACTAACACGTTTCTCTGCCTGACTATGCTTAGAAATTTTTTTCTTATATTCTCAGAGACTTCAATGAACATCACCCTTGGCCCATACAATAACTATCTGTGAATTAGTCACAGGTGCAATGCTTTTAAGATATTTTACTTTATATCCACCTCCACCCAAAATTGTCAGAATAAACTAATTTTTATTTATTTATGTATGTATTTATTTTTGAGTTGGAGTCTCACTCCGTTGCCCAGGCTGGAGTGCAGTGGCACGCTCACGGCCACCGAAGGCTCGACCTGCTGGGCTCTGGTGATCCTTCTGCCTCAGCTTTCCAAGTAGCCAGAACTACTGACATGCGCTACCACACCCAGCTAATTTTTGTTTTACTGTAGAGACAAGGTCTTGCCAAGTTGCCCAGGCTGGTCACAAACCTGCGGGCTCAGGCAATCCACTCGCCTCAGCCTCCCAAAGTGCTGGGATGACAGGCTGAGCCACTGAGCCCAGTCACTAATTTTTAAAAAGGCAAGACAATATATATTATTGCCATCTTCCAGAACACTGCCATAATAAATATGCATCTCTGATGTGAATGTCATCTCTTAGAGATGGTGCAGTGCATAGCCCATGCAACTGTGCGTGGCAGTCTTGAATAAATATGTCAACTTAGTCTATTAGTATTGGAAGCAGGGGAAGCATAGAATAAATAATGGACACAAAGGCAGGAATCCTAGGTTCAGTTTCTAGCACAGCCAATTAATTCCCAAGATAGCTGTATGGGCTGAATGAGACACGCATCCATGGAAGTCAGTTGTCACACTAAATCAATAATTTTTATAACATCCTTGTGTCCAGAAAGCCATGTTTATGCTCACTGCCTTATTAACCTTCTAGTGTCAGTGATTGTAAAGTCAACACTGCCAGCCACTTCAAAGAAGAAGAGAATGGCAGAGATTTGCTTGAAATCGCTTGAGTCAGTAAGACAATGAGGATTTTCAGCTCTACGTCTGGCTGTCTTTCTACCACAACTTGGAGGTTTCCATGTTTCAGGGACAATAATTCACTGCTTGCATATTATGGCAACTACCTGGCAAATTTGAGCTTCGGGCAGATTTCAATATTAGACCAAGCCACAGGCCAAAAGAAACTTCCAACTTAAATTTTCTGCAGGAAGACTTTGGTCCTGAATCCTTGTTCTTTGTGTCCCGGTGCACACAGCATGCCAACGTCCACACACATTCATATATTACCGCCTCCCGTCCCTCCCGAGAAGTGATCTTACCTTGTCTTTAACGTCCAAAGGGCATTTATTCTCATTAAGAAATTTCAAGGTGTCAACGTGGCCATGCCGAGAGGCCCAGTAAATGGCATTGGATCCACCCTGCATGAAGACCAACATGGAGTCACATTTCTGGAGAGCTGACAGATCTGAACGCACGCGTCCTTCAGAATCACTGTCTTTCCCTTCCTATGTGACAACAAACCTCAAAGGGGCAACTTCCCAGAGGAATAAAATCCTCATTCTATTTTGTAGCTTTGACAAATGCACCATGGTCATGGCAGACGTTAACACTAGGGGCAGCTGGTTGACGGGTGTAAGGGAACTTTCTGTACTGTCTTTCCAACTTGTTTTGTAAAATCAAAATTACTTAAAAAAAAAATTGTGGGTCTTTCATAAACCCTCATTTCAACTTCTGGCTAGAATTCCCTTATGGTCGAATGCCAGGTCTAGTCCATTACAGTTCTGTGGAAGGGCTGTGAAGCGGATAACAGAGTCATCATAAAAGACTGTCTGCTGTTACTCAGTTGTGTCTAAACTTCCAGTGTGATCCACACCTCAAAGTGTATCATTCTTAGTAGGCTGCCTGGATAAACATGCAGGCAAATACATTTCTGATGAGATTTAACTAGATCATGAAAACCTTTCCAAGTGTGACCTCTAACACCGTCGAAGAAATGTGATCAGTAAGGAGCAAAATCTGGGTAGTGTACAAAGAAATGCTGATGGCAAGCAACAGAGCCAGGAGAAGACATAAGTCTTCCTTTTTCTAACATGCAGTCAGATTATACCAGGCTATTTAACCAACTCATCTTCCTTTACAGGAAACTGAGAAGCACATTGGGAAATACTTTGTTTTTCTCCTCTCTTACCCCTATGATTAGAAGACATTTGGAACTAATTTGAAAATTAATTCATTTGTGATAAAACAGAATTATGACCTTATCCTGGACATCGATTCTTGAGCCTCTTTTAATGAGCAACTGTAGTATTTGAATATTCCCACAACCAGCAGCAATGAGTAGCGGAGGTGTCCCGTGCTGGAATAAGCAAGAAAAGAAAAATACAAACGTTCAAGCTTCAAAGGACAGGAAAAGCCCAAACTATCATTGCTCTTCTCCCATACCTTCCCATATTTCAATAGATACAGAAATACCAAAACGAAAGACAGGCAGAAGGACACACAGTTTCCTTTCCTCGTTAAGATTATCATCAGAAGTGATATTTTCATTTAAAGGATAACCAGATAAAAACTTTCATGGGTAGAAGTGAACAAAGAAAGGCCCTCATTGCAAAAGGACTTTATGTGTAACCCAAACCACTCTCTCAACAGAGGTGGTTTTTCCCACAGTGTGGAGAGTCCAGTTGGAAGGAAGAATGAAGAAGCAGAAGCAGAAGGAGTCTCTCCTCCTTGGACTTGGAGGTCCAAGGTGACTGTTACCCACCCTCCACCATCCCTGGTTGAACAGTCAAACCTTGTTGGGCTGGTTAACATCATAGTTCGACAATGAGCCCAGGAGGTGCTGCAGGCCTGGGACATTGTCATCGTTGATGGCATGGATGATGGCTTTCATCACAAAGGAGTCTTCCTCATCCTTGAGAGAGACAGTGAAGATGGAAAAAAAGAGTTACCCTGTGCCGTGGTCTTAGCAACATAGGAGAAACCTGTGCTCACTTGGTAACAAGGACATTCAGAGGAAAGCACACCATTTAATCCTCAGGAGGAGGACGGGTTGCTTTTTGCCCTGTCCATGTTGCAAACTAACACCACATACTATTTACCTGAGTCTTAATGTCACCTGCATTACAACCCAAGAGCAAACAGTTTCCATAATTCATATTTCAAACAATAATGACAAATAAGTTTTTGTGTTTATTTTAGGAATGTGTTACAACATAGTTCCAGAAACCACTGTGAAAAATTTTAGGTATAACACAGACTCCTTCCCCAGGTGAGAAAAACCAAACCAACAAAACAAAAAACACAGAAGCAAAGAAAATAGCTTTGAGTAAGATATCCTCAATTTGCAATTTTTCCAATTACGGAATTGTCATTTTTTGATCACTCAAGTGTCTTCCTGCCCGAGGTACAGAGTAATATGACAGAATTCTTTAAAGTTAGTCACAATTATCAAAAACAAAAGAAAGAAAAATGGGTCTAAATGAAGAAATCAAAAGCCAGAAAAAGAAAAACAAACACATTTCCAATTACCAAGGAAAAATAACTAGAGAATACTGAACAAGTTTGTTAAATCTTTGCCACTCTGTCAAAGTTCATAGCAAAATCAGGGAATTGGCTAGAAAAATCCTAAACAACACTTCTGCACTTATAAACATAGAAATACAACTACTGAAATTTCAAAGCTGGAGAAGCGTTATCTACAGAGGTATCACAACTGGTAGAGGCAGGATGGAGAAGTCACTTCTCTCTTCTGCTTTCTCTCCTCCATAGCTCTGAATCCAGACAAACTTCATGCAGGTTTTAGTAATATTTGTACAGAATACGTGCTTAAGAATGCCGCTGGTTTGGTTTTTTGTTACAACCTGTCGATGACGAAGAGACATTTGCATGACGGTGAAAGTCAAGATACATGGGGAAAATGGAAGAAATAGAGTAGATGGTCATGCACATCCCAGGATTAGCAGAATGTGGAGATAGGAGACTGTCACCTTCGGGAGGAGATCTTCCTACCTGGAGCGCCTCTGTGACCCTGGGTTGCTCTCCTACCCTAAACTTTTCATCACAACACGAGTATTTCCTCCTCATTGATTACTCAGGACGATTTTAATCTGCAACCTTTTATCATTCTCATTATCTTATTCAGAGTCACAGTTTTTATCTTTTCCCTGGCTTCCAGGGCCACCTTCAACCAATTCTCAAACTAAGCCTTCCTCCTCTTCTCCCTCTTCTCTCCCATCTGCTTCTCTCACCTTTTAAATTTTTTAACATTCTACACCTCATTTTACTCCTCAAGGCTAGACCGGGAGCCTTACTGAAGCTACTAGCTTCAGAGGGAAAAAGAGAGCTGGTGTCTGCTGATTTCCCGCCCCTGGAGTCCCAGATTCCGGCCAGGAAATGCTGACTGTTGTTATAAGGGCAGGGTAGTTCCCACAGAAAGACCGTGTCTGCCGTTTCTGGGGTCTCCTTTATCTCCCGAGTTCACAAAGGCCTGTTGTCTGACTGTCAGGAGAAAGTCTGGTTGCATTCGGATACTCCAGTCCTATCTGAAGAGCCAATCTGTGATTAGGTTTCAGTTTGGATTTGGGGAAAAAGTTGTGGAGCTGTTCTCAAGGGCCTTGGGCCGTCAATAGTATGTTAATTCAGCAAGTGGGTTTGGCCTTCTGGTCTACCATGAGACACACCAGCAAGCAGCATTGCATTTTCCCTAAATGTAGGGGTGTTGTGTGTGGGGAGGGAGCGGGGGTGTCTGTACTTTTTGTACCGCTATGATTCTGAGTCTCCTATGCCAGTGGCAATGGAGTGTTCTCATTTTTGTTCATGCAAACGAGAATAAGCTCTTTCCTCTTCTACTGACTAACCTCCCTTTTCCCAAAGGGTGCAACAAGGTGGAGACCAGCGCTGGAAGCAGTGGAGGTGGCGATGGAGATAGCACCAACCAAACCAAAGAGAAAAAAGAAGGAAAGACGCATGGGGGAACATCAAATCAGCCACCTCAGTCCCTCCTACAGAGGAGCAAGAATAGGCCTGACATTTCCGCGACTTCAGGTTCTCTGGGTTGTTGAGCAAATAGAACAAGGTAAACTTTCTAGATACACAGTGCGAAGAAAGCAGCTCGCTAAGCCAAACGGGTTTGCTTACCAGAGTATCATCGCTTCTGGCAACACTCATGTTACTTCTGGACAAGAACGACCTGGATAATCTTTGGCACAGTGATATCAAGCGAACGGATTGCTTTAAGAAAAAAGAAAAACGGTTGGGGGGTGCAGAAAGGGGAGAGAAAGCTTATGTGGCAATACGCGTGAATTAGTGCAAATGTTGAAGTTTTAAAGATAGTATTCATTGCTGACAGCACACATTCTTAGGGTTGGGCAGTCTCACAGGAGGTTGGATATTTGCTTAAAGAAGAATTTTAAAGGTCGTAGAAATCAAGACAACAGAATACAGAGAGATTCTCCTTCTGCATTTCAATTATTACACTCTAAGCAGGATGCTCCACATCCCTTCACCCCTTCTCTATTCATATTTTGTTCTCTACTCTTTAAGGAACATGATCTTTTTCCTTGTAAGCCTCTTTCAGGTCCCTGCCGGTATGTATCAGCCTTGCTCTCTGTCCTTTGTGCTATGTAAGTGTTGATGGTAGACAATGCGATGATAACGCACACAGTTGTTGGAAATGAACAGATGGGGGACCCCTTAGACTAGAAAAACATCTCTGTGTTTACTCTCAAAGGCAGAAGCAGCAGGGAAAGAATGTGTGTGTGAGAGAGAAAGAAAAGGAGGGGCGGAGGCGGGGATGAGAGAGAGAGAGAATGTGGTGGTTCTCTACATTTAAGCCTTATTCTAGGAGCTTCTTTGGGAAACTAGTGCCATGGTTCTCCTTATTCTTATCACAGTGCACCCTCCCACTTTCTGGCCCAGTGTTGAAGAGATATGGCAGGTACTGGCTTCCTCTGGGTCTGCTATGACCCGAGGCACAGGAACCCACCCTGGCACCTTCTTATCCCTGAAGTCTGTTTTGTTCAAGGATATCTACAATGCCCTTTCAAGCTATGTACCATGCAGCCCCTGCAGAAGCCACCCACACCAAGGAAGACGAGGCCACTCTGCCAATGCTCATGGCCCCATCTGTCCCCATTCCAACCAGTCATGGACAAAGGCTGGTTTAAGAGAACCACTTACACAAGACCTGGAATAAATGTGACCTCATGCTGCTTACCACAAAGAACGAATTTACTTAAAACGTAGTGTATGGTATTAGAAAAGGACTTCACTAAAATTTTATTGTGCTGGTTTAAAATTATGTCACGGGGACAATTTTGATTAAAAATGCCAAACTGCATTTGAAAGAATGAGTTAAATAAGACTAATTTTTGTTTGTTTGGTTTTGAAAATAGAGTAATGGGTGCGGGAGACTACAAAATGAATTTTAAAAAGTGAGGGATGTATTTTCCATATTGCCGGTGTCAGAAATGATAAGCCCTGGCCACACAGAACTTCACAGAGGAAACAGAATCTGTTAATCCCGCTCTAGCAAACAATCTTACTTTCCATTTTTTGCGGGCTGCGAACTTCTTGAATTTCTCCATGTTTACTGCTGATGCTTTTCTACTAAGTGCTTGTTGCGTATCTTTAGGCTAAAATGAAAGGCCAAGAAAAACATTTAGAGCTCTCAAATTACATAAATGTGTTATGCGACAGCTTTTGGAAACCTCTCCTTATTCAGGATGCTTCCACATTGCCCTTCTTAAATCAGCACACCAGTTGGGATAATACGCAGTCTCAGAATCTAGTCTCAGGGGGGCTAACTCATGTCTGAGGGTTTCATATCATCCATAAAGACTAGATCTTGGGGAGAGGTTGAACTTGGAGCCAAACTGAATCACAACTTTCTGCACTGACAGTCTGAGAATGGCAGGATTCACGGTGAGGCCATGTTTACAAGGCATTTGAACTTGGGTATCATCAAGCAGTTTAGAGTTGAGAGGACCTCAGAGGTAAGTCCACAAATCCTGCCTCTCCTCCAGCACTGAAATCCCTTCTACTGTGTCTTTTTCAGTAGACGTAGTTGGGCTCTACTTCTGAGAGAAGGAAACCCCATGGCCTTTTAGGAGAGCCCAAGTAACTGCTGGGAGCAAGTCGGGCACGGTGGCTCACATCTGTAATCCCAGCACTTTGGGAGGCGGAGGCGAGAGAACTGCCTGAGCCCATGGGTTCGAGACCAGCCTGGGCAATGTGGCAAGACCTCATCTCTACAATAAATAAAAAAATTAGCTGGGTGTGGTGGCGCACACCTGTAGTTCCAGCTACTCAGAAGGCTGAGGTGGAAGGATCGCCTGAGCCCAGCAGGTCGAGGCTGCGGTGGCCGAGAGCATGCCACTGCACTCCAGCCTGGGAGACAGACTGAGATTCCAACTCAAAAAGCAAAAAAACAAAACTGCTGGGAGCTCGCACAGGCAAAACCACTTGCCCTCAAAGCCTACTTCTGTAATGCCCACTTATTTGTTTTAAGATTTCATATCACATTTCCCCACCCTTAGTCCCTTCTGCTCTGGGCTGAAGCAACTTTAGCCCAAATGCCAATAGGGCCAGGTAGGTAATATAAAGGTATAACATGCCAGGGTGGCCTCACGCCCTAGTACAAAGACACCACTAGATGCCACTTCCTATGGGAGGGCTCAGTGTTGGTGGATCTTGAGATTTTTCAAGAGAAACTGGAAATGCAGATTTGGTATGATATTTACATGCTGAAAATCAATTCAAATTTTTAAACAATACTGTCTGGACCAACATCCCACAGGTCAAGGTAAACATAGCTGTTGAGTGGACCTGGCCATTAACAATCCTGCTCTGTGGTGGATTAACCCTCTCCCACCGCCTCTGGGATCATTAGGATATGATTTAAACTGTTTGTCTTAAAATATGACACCAATAGCAAACATAACACTCCGGGTGTGACTTAGGGTTAGCAGTACTCTAAGACAAATGGACCCTGGGATGCCCAAACCACTCACTTAGAAAAATGATTTCAACAACCACACAGTATGCAGCTCACCTTGATCCAGGGATGCTGCAAGCTATCTTGAATTGTCATTCTCTTCCTTTGGGGAAGGGAGAGAGAAAGAAAAGAACGCTGTGACCATAGTAGCAAACACTAAGGTTATTTTCATGCTAGCTGGGCCTATAAGCAGACACTCTGAAAAACGCAGCTCAGGGAAAAAAGCCGAAAATGAAATGGGTCTTTGTGTGATTATTTCATTGCGCTTTGCGGGAGCTGACTGAGCGGGCACACAGGGTCCTGTGTGTATTTTCTGAAGCAATTCCCACCCAGGCTGCCCTTTGGCAGGTAGAATACCAAGGTCTGTGAAACAGGGTGTACACAGAACAGGTGCTGGCCCTTGGCTAGCTGGGGTCATGGCCGAGCACCTTTCAGGAAGAGTGGATACTCACTTGGGGTCCTTGACCAGAAGTCTTCTTATGAAATCTTTGGCGAGGGCACTGGTATTACTGAAGTATTCTTCCTCAAATTCATAGTTGACCGCGGATACGTTTGCTAGCGTTTCTTGCTTAGTGTCTCCAAGAAACGGGGAGGCCCCACTCAGGCTGTTAAAGGAAAATGAGGCACAGAACTTTAATGTGACCCCTTCTGCTGTCATTTTGTTCCTCTAACAGCTGGGAAAGGGGAATGTGGAAAAAGATGATAATTTGGTGCTCAGGAAATCAATTTAGAGTTCTATTTTATTTCATAAGGCATTTAACTGTCAGGAGTAGAAGCTTCAGTTTCGTGCAAAAGATTCACTTAGCAAGTGAATCTGGAACAGTATCTAGTAGTTTAAAAGAAACCTGTTTTCTCAGCAGTGATGGACAGCTATGCTTTCTTTCAGTGCTTATATTGTTTCTGATGACTCATTTCAAATTAGGAGAAGATGTTTAATTAGTATAAACTAAACATGTTTTGGGGGTGTAAAATGAATATGTTTACATCAAAAGCATGCATAATCTGAAGAGATCAACATAGCACATTTGATGGTTAATTAAACATATGGTCTCATAGAAAAGGAAAGAATATGAGTTGTGGATTTCGGTACTTACAGAATGTAGGTTATTACACCGATACTCCTAAATATAAAACAAAACAAAAAAAATGTCAGGAGAATAGTAAAATAAATCAGAAAAATAACAACACCAAGGACACTTCCTTACCACATATCCGCCTCAAGACCAAGAGGTTCGTAGTTGACTATCTCAGGAGCTAAGAGGAAAAAAACATTCATTTAGCTTGGGAAGGAAGCAAATCAACAGAGTCTATCTTCACACAACAACCAGAAATATGCACCAGGGAAATGACCCTACAGCAAAGGAAGTTCTGCCAGCATAATATTTACGAGACACAAATGGACACAGAAACAAAGAAACTTACCGACAAACTCTGGTGTCCCAAATATGTTTTTAAATTCATTTCCGAAGTCAATTTTGTGGGCCAACCCAAAGTCAATGATCTTGATCCGAGGTTTGGGGACATTTCTATCCAAAAGCATGATGTTCTCAGGCTTTAAGAAAGAGAAAGGGAGAGGGAGAGAAATAAAAAAAGCTATGCGATATTATGCCAAGGACAAGATGGCAGAGTCTGCTCTCCAAAAAAAAAAAAAAAAAATTAGAAAAGAGTAGTTGGAAGAGAACACCAGGAAAAATAGCTGCTTGGTTTAGGTTCTCCCCAAAGAAGGTCTGGGATGAGAATTTGGTTGCGAGAGGGTCCTGTGGGAGGGAATGCCAGGAAGCACTGGGCCAGGGAAGGAGATACAGGAAACAGAAGGAAGTCGGTACGAGATGTCTTAACGTGTGGATGGCGTAGATGACAGGAGTGCAGTTCTTCTGGGGAACTTGAGAAGAAAGAGTAGAACTCAGGGTGACTGCAATGGAAACACAAGGGAATCGGGGTCTTCACCGTCCAACTCCCCATCTTCCACTGCCAAGATCTGCTTCTGCGGGCATTTACTCCTTGTCATATACAACTCCCAGGGCCAGAAACAAGACGCCAGGTGTTTGCAGCAGGCCTTCCTTAGTGAGTGTGGGGTGGGAGGAACACAGATGGGATAGTGACAGCTCTGCTGCCGTAAGGATGGAGAAAACCCTCCATCCTCTGAAGCCCGGTCCCAGGGTCCAAGATGGAAGTCATTCCCTTGATGGAGCACACACGGCCGGGCCACACAGCTCTTCTCGCCGCTTGGAACTGGAACTTTATAACACGGCCACTTCTTGCTGCTACCGTGTGTGTTTTCCCTTCCCAGACAGACCATACCTCTGTCAGGGATGGGAGGATGACTTACACATCTTTTCATCTCCCACAAGTGCCCTGACTCCAGACAGGCAAACACCCCAATTAGCCAGAGTCAGGTCATAAGCTTTTGTGTCAAAAGGAGAGCAGAGCTCAAGACACCTGTGCCGGCTTCTGACTACTCCAGGCTAAAGATGTCCCAGTGACCAAATGGAGCCCCCTTGCTTAAAATCCCAGCTGGTGGGCAACCCCTTTGGGTCCCCTCCCACGGTGGGAGCTTTTCTGTCCTCTCAATAAATCCTGCTTCCTAAAAAAAACCCAACAAAACAAAAACAAAAGCAAAACCCAGCTGGTAAGACCCCTTAACCCTTCCACAAATATTCTAGACTGTAATCACTAATCTTAAGCCTCTAACCCACAAAAAGGCTAGGTATCCCAGTGGTAGGCATGTATTACATACTTGGAGATTTATATTGATAATTCCACTTGTCAAACCCATACAAGAAAAATAAATGTCACTCTTTCAGATGCCACAACTTTGTTTAGCAAACTAACAGTCAAGGCTGTGATCTGCTTAAGCGTCTGCCTGGCTTACCCTCTGCCACGTACCTTGAGATCAAAGTGGGCGATCTGGAGGGAGTGCAGGTAGTAAACACCATTAAGAATTTGTTTCAGAAATTCAGTTGCTTCTTCTTCAGTCAAAGATTCCTTTTCAGCTAAGAAGTCAAACAGCTCGCCACCTGCAACGCTGAAACCCCCAAAACAGAGGTTATTGATGACAATTCTGCTCCATATTGATTCATTCTCTTATAGGTTACCGGCACGTTCAAATTTCAGACCAGAAAACAGTATAAAGACTGTGCTGGCACTGCTAAGCACAAAGTCTGAATTCTCTGTGCTTATTGTGAGAAATCTGTATTCAGGTACATTTGTGCTTGAAATAGCTAGGGAGTCATTTTCCTAAGGTGCCATGTTCACAAACGAGATGTCATGGGGAAAAAAAATCAATGTCTCTTTAAAGTAATTGAATGAAACATATTTGGAGATGAGATCTTCACTTTACTAATGGGAAAAAAAACTGCCAGCCAACTTTGTACAGAATTTATAGAATATATCTTTCTGTCTCAAGTAGAAAATACCTGCTAAGTCTGCAATTTGTATGTAATTCAATTTTTTTAAAACTTAAAATCACAGCATGTGGTTTGACTAGGGTCTTTTTTGTTTGTTTAGCATTGGTTTACATGTAAATATGAATACACTTATGAAAATCATATTCAGTCATAAATTCAGCAAATACCTTAATTCATAAGAATAAACACACGCAAAATTGAAATGCAGATTCAATCTGTCTCCCTGGCCAGACTGTGGCCAGCCCCTGTTCCCAGTTATGGGCCACTGCAGTATATGCACTTAATTGTTGTACTCATTAGGTTTCTTAGGACAAGACAACTCCATAAACATACCTACCGCATCTACATTAAGTCAGAGGACTGGACAAATACCTCAGTTCAACAAATAGTTGTTCATAATGTTAAACAAGAATGATTTGAAAAAGCTGTAGATTTTGTTTAAGTCAGTGCTTGTCTTAGCATAGCCTAAAATCTCCTGCCATCAGAATTGCTTGGGAATATTTTTAAAAAACGAAGATTCTGGGTCTGACTTTCAACCTACCGTGTGAGGGTTTCCAAGAGTGATTTTCCAGGAAAATCAGCATTTTCAACAAGCATCCTAAAAGCTGACAACCATTTCCCCACATCTTAGTTTCATGTTTCTGCTGCAAAGCCTCCCTTCGATTTACCTGGGAAGGTGAGCTTACTCTCCCACCCCTGGGGCCGAGCCCATCACAGGCCTCCCTGACTGTCCCCCGGGGCAGCCACAGAGCCTGAGCCAGCTAGGACACCCAGAAGCCCATGTGGCTGGCAGAGACCTGCAGCTGTTCCCGTAAATACTGCCAGGGGGTATGGGGTGGCCCTTCTCTCCCAAATGCTCCCTGCACTCCCTGCTTGCCCCCCCCCCCACAAGATGCCCTGGCCAGGTGTCCCCCAGGCTGTCTCTGACTCAACAAGGTGAAGCCTCCCAGTTCTCATTTCTGCGGCTTCTTATTCTTACATCAAACAAGGGAAGAGGAAATCCTTAAATTATGGGGGGGGGAGAAAAAAAACAATGGGCGATTGCGAACCAGCCACCCCAAGAAATCCATCCCAGTGTAGGCTTACGTCTCTGTGCTCCTTGCTCCTATGCAGGGTACGCTCGTCTCCAAAGTCCCATGGCTGCATGGGCTGGGGAGGTCACACCCCACATCCAGTCCAAGTCTTAACTCTCTCTCTGCTATCCCTGGCACTCGAAAGGTGACCCCTTCTCTTGAAGCCTTATTTCCCCACCAGTCAGGAATCATGAGACCTACGTTCTTGAGGGTTATGAAGACGAAAGACAGTAGACATCCGTAATGCACCAGCAAGTCTGAGTGAGGTCCAGTGAGTGGGAACTAGTGTTATCATAAAGGACGCACAGGACGCCACGTCGCACCCCCCAGCAGGATCCAACGTGAAAGCCCCTTCCTACCGTCTTCTTCTCCTCGGATTGTTCCGTCGGTCTGGCTTAACCACTATGCTTCCAGGAAGGAAGGGGATGGAGGGGAGGATGGAGAGAGGAACAGGAGAGCAGGGGCTCCTGTGAATATGGTGCCCCGCCTGTCTGTCCTCCCTGTGTCCAGCTTCAGGGGCACCCGCCTCCACCCCACTCATCCAGACTGCTTGTACTCTTACACAGTGCAAGAATATTTCTTTCTTTTTCTTTTTTTTGAGCTGGAGTCTCACTCTGTCACCCAGACTGGAGGGCAGTGGCCGTTCCCGGCCACCGCAGCCTCAACCTGCTGGGCTCCAGCGATCCTTCTGCCTCAGCCTTCCGAGTAGCTGGAACTACAGGTGCGTGCTACCACGCCCGGCTCAT